AAAAAAAGATTTTTGATAGACATAGCATGCTTGGAAAGTCAGATCTGCTCTGCAGCCTATTAGTATTAAGGATAACGCTGAAATCAGGTTCAAATTCTGGTGGGGCTGTTGATGAGACCCAGTTTAGGCAGAAGCTGCCGTCCATCTCAGATTGGAAAACATTTTTGAAGGCTAAGCTAAGCGACATTCAATAGCGCTATGAGGCCTATATATTGCAAGGTGAAAAATTCAACAACCAGACATTATATGATCTCAGCTGGCTTGGGATCAATCAAGTTTTTAATCAAGATTTAATGATGGCTGCGAAACACTCATTCTTTGTATTAAATTGATATTATTACATATTAGGCGATCTTAATCCTTTGACTTAATATTCCCACTAACTGTAAAGATAAACTTTGTGCCCTTTTATTATTTTTGCTTTATTTTATCCATTGAAATTGGTAAGCACACGTAGCAAAAATTCATTCAAACCTATATTCTTGCACACAAAAATACCATATATCATTGTATAAGTCATTTTAAACAATAAATTCATTTATTTATTAAAATAGTTCTGAAAATTGTAATAACCCTTGTTGCCGGTTTAGGTCGGTTTAATCGATCTAAGGAGTCGCGGCTTTATGTTTGCTGTCCTCTGATGGCCTAAATGTGGCTTCCACCATCCTTACTAATAGTGTCTTCTTCCTTCAGGAAGGATTACCATCCTTCATATTGGACCGATTTACATAGCATTAAATATGCTTGAGTTTTCCCTAAACCTTATTTCATTTGTGCTTATTCTCAATGTGTCGAATGCTGCTAACCCAACATATGTGAAACCATTATTTACAGAGCATCCACAAGACACGTTTGTGTTCCGAAATTCGCCTCTCACACTACGATGTCGAGCTGATGGTCATCCAACACCTTCTTTAACTTGGTACAAAGATAATGACATTGTTCTTTCTCATAGAGAAAGACCTGGGACTTCTACCATCATTATAAAATCAGGAGAATTGTCTATATTGTCATTTGACTCTCACAATGAGGGAAAGTATTATTGTAAGGCTTCAAATAACGCCGGATCAGCTGTATCGTCCTCTGCACTTGTGAAAATGGCTTATTCTGATAACCGATTATTTGGCCCAGAAAGCAAAATAGTTAGTGTTGGCGAAACTGCAGTGCTAATTTGTCGAAGCTCAAGTGGCCTTCTAAAACCCGAGGTTGAGTGGTACAAGAATAAAAAGAAGCTTCAGTTTGATCAGAGAATACAAATAATGGATGTAGGTGATTTACGCATTGACAATGTCGGCCTAAGAGACCAAGGTACCTATAAATGTATTGTTTACAATATGCCTGGGGAACGGTCAAGCAATGAAGCAGTACTTACAGTTAGACAAAAGCCACAGTTTGAAGCAACTCCACAAAACAAGCAGGTGAGAGTTGGTGAGCTGGCCCGTTTCATGTGTCGCGTTGCCGGAGACCCCAAACAAACGATAATATGGAAAAGAGAAGATGGAATTGCAATGCCCGTAAATAGGAGCAAGCTACTTGGTGACAAAAGTCTAGAAATTCACGATATTAAATCAATTGATGCAGGAAACTATGTGTGCATGGCAAACAACTCGGCTGGTCGCGTCGAAGCTGTAGCTAGACTTGACGTTATTTCGCCCCCTAATTTCAGAATTACTCCGGAGGATCAATTTGTTGAACTCAATGATACAGCAGCATTTGAATGCCAGGCAGCTGGGTCTCCGCGTCCTGAAGTCCGTTGGATTCATAATAATCGCTCATATCTTGCCTCAGATCGTTCTGATTCAATTTATGGAACTTCAAATCGTATTCAAGTCTACTCTGATGGAAGACTTGTTATACATCCGGTCAGAAAAACCGATGAGGGCTTATATGAATGTGTGGCTTCGCATTATGATGGGAGTATTAAATCTTCCGCATGTCTTCGTGTTCGAGAGCCTAGCCGCATAGCCTTGCCCCTAATAGAAATTGGCCCTCAGAATCAAACTCAGGTCAAAGGCTCTGTTGCAAATTTTATTTGCAAGGCTTTGGTTACACGTATATCAAGACAGGCAATTAGATGTGGTACGGAGCAAATGTTGGATGATTACCCCAAAGTAATCATAGAGTGGTTCATCAATGGCGTATCTGGGCCGTCTCCAGACAATCCAAGGATCGTCAAACTTTCTTTGGAGACACTCCAAATAAACTCACTTAGCTTGGAGGACACAGGAAA